ACATCAAAAAGTAGCCAGCCGAGGAGCGCTCGTCCCAATCTTCCTGCAGCGCGGGGTCACTCGGTCTAGGCTCCTCCCCAATCATTAGTTTCAGCAAACGGATCTGACGGAAATAAAGTTGCATTTTCCAGGCCCAATCATCATAGCCCTCACCATTGAACTTCTCGACGGTGAAGTTTTTCAGCACCTCCTTGATCAGCGAGCCATGGCTTGTTCGCGCTCCCCTTGGCGCAGAAACGCCAGAATCATAGCTGCCGCTACGAACTTGGGCTGAAGATTCACCAGCTACCGCCGAGGTGTTCCCCGCCATAGCTACCTATATCGAGGATCACTAAAACGCAGCTCTGATACCAGCTTGTTGGTGTAAGGGCCTAATAAACTCAAGCTATTAAGACTTTATCACACTTAAAAACCTCTCCTCGAGGTCACCTCCAAGGGTCCTTGGGTGCCTGGTACAAGACCAGCTCCTATCCTCGGGTCCGAGTTTGTAGAGAGAGGGATCAAGAGGGACTTAGTCAAAACAGCAAGAGTACCTTGAACGTCGCGCAGCGTATCGTGCAGACCGTTGATCGGATTAAGCTGAGACTTTACTATATCGAAGCTCGCTCCAAGAGCTTTCAAATGAACCAAATTGCCTCGCGAAAAGTTCTGCCAGTACGAAATTATGGCTCGGACAGCGTTAGCCTAGCGTTGGAGTGCTAGCGTACTAGCGTTGACTCGGGTAGCATTCCGCCGTCGCACCGCGTAGAAAGGAAATTCCAGCAAGGAAGGAATTCGCTTGAATCAATTTCACTATATCCAGGTACAAACAGAGAAAGAATAAATAGTTCTAGCTAGCAAGGACCTTGGGAATAAACCTGGGAACAACAAAGGATGATCCCAAATAATTCCAAGCAACAGAACCAACCTGGCTGGACAAAACAGCAGGTGGTAGGTTGGTAAACAACCTCTGGTTCTCTTTTTCCAACCTGGGAAAACAACAACCAGGTTCAGGTCCTAAAAACAGAACCTGTTTTGTCTTTGCCCAACCAGCCAAATGCTGGTTCCGCTGGTTTCCCCTGGCCCTGTAGCATGCAGATACAGACAAACAACATCCAACCTTCACCTAAATTGTACCCCTATAGTGCCTGCCCTGCTACACTATAGTCAACCAAACAAAACAGTTCAATTTCGAGTTGGATAGAACTGAATCTGCACAATCAAGTAAGCCGAACCGCAAAGCTTCCATCTTGGGCTCCTTTGCGAGCTCGTCCTTTCTGCTTGTACTGTTCATAGCGCGTACAATGTTATGCCGAAGCGCACAATGCGCGAGTACCTGCAAATGCTTCAAGCGAAAATTGCAAAAGCAAACAAACACACAAGCATACCATTCACACGCAAATGCATTCGCACACGCATACTCCTACAAACAGACGGGAGGATGTCGTGCAATGTGAATTTGCACCCAACAATGATGACCTTGTCGGGAGGCAATTGCAGAAAGTTGCTTCGCCGCTGTTTTGTGATAGCAAAGGGGCTCTTGGGATGGCCAGGAACGCTGTGCTTCATGGGCTGAACAAGCACATGCGTATCAAGTGGCACTGGCTGCGTAAGGAAGTGAAAATGGGGACGGTGAATCCGATCTACATCAAGACTCACCACCAGCCAGCAAACTTTCTCACCAAGAGGCTTGCGGAGGAGCCTCATAGGCGTTGTGTGCGCATGAGTGGAATGAGCATGAACTAGCATGGAATGATGGAAATGCAGCCGGTAGGCTGAGGGGGAGTGTGTTGGGTGCAAATTCACATTGCACGACATCCTGCCGTCTGTTTGTACGCGTATGCGTGTGCGAATGCATTTGCGTGTGAATACTATATTCGTTTCTTTGTTTGCTTTCGCAATTTTCGCTTGAAGCATTTGCAGGTACTCGCACAATGTGCGCTTCGGCACAACATTGTACGCGCTATGAACAGTACAAGCAGAAAGGACGAGCTCGCAAAGGAACCCGAGATGGAAGCTTTGCAGTTCGGTCGAATTGATTGCGCAAATTCAGTTCTATCCAACTTGTAATTGTACTGTTTTGTTTGGTTAACTATAGTGTAGCAGGGCAGGCACTATACGGGTACAATTTAGGTGAAGGTTGGATGTTGTTTGTCTATATCTGCATGCTACAAGGCCAGGGGAAACCAGCGGAACCAGCATTTGGCTGGTTGGGCAAAGACAAAACAGGTTCTGGTTTTAGAACCTGAATCTGATTGTTGTTTTCCCAGGTTGGAAAAACAGAACCAGAGGTTGTTTTCCAACCTACCACCTGCTGTTTTGTCCAGCAAGGTTGGTTCTGTTGCTTGGAATTATTTGGGATCATCCCTGGTTGTTCCCAGGTTGATTCCCAAGGTCCTTGTTAGCTAGAACTATTTATTCCTTCTCTGTCTGTACCTGAATATAGTCAATTTGATTGAAGCGAATTTCTCCCTTCCTAGAATTTCGTGTCTACGCGGTTCAACGGCGTAATGCTACCCGAGTCAACGCTAGTACGCTTGCACTCCAACACTAGGCAAACGCTGTCCGAGCCATAACTTCGTAATGGCAGAACTTTTCGCGAGGCAACTTGGTTCATTTTAAAGCTCTTGGAGCAAGCTTCGATATAGTAAATTCTCAGTTTAATCCGATCAACGGTCTGCACGATACGTTGCGCAACGTTCAAGATACTCTTGCTGTTTTGACTAAGTCCCTCTTGATCCCTCTCTCTACAAACTCGGACCCGAGGATAGGGGCTGGTCTTGTACCAGGCACCCAAGGACCCTTGGAGGTGACCTCGAGGAGAGGTTTTAAGTTTGATAAAGTCTTAATAGCTTGAGTTACTCCAACAGATGTCAGCCAGCCAAACTTGGCCGATTGCGACGGAGCACCAGTTGAAGGCCTAAAAGTGCTGCGCCTTCGTCACAGAGTCGGCCGGCTGCTCGGGTCTCGGGATGTATTTCAGCACGAACTTCCCGCGCTTCACCATCTGCTTCAGCAAGGCAAAGCGTCGCTCCATGTGCTTGAGGTTGCCTTTCGGTGGCCGTAATGGCCGATTGGTTGTCCATACAAAGGACGGTCGACGTCCCAGCGTCGATCATCTGGAGCTCTACAAGGAGGGAGCGCAGTCGTCGAGCCTCCTTGGTTTCCGTGGCCGCGACGTACTCCGACTCGGTCGACGAGAGTGTCTCGCAATTCATGCGCTGGCTCAACCAGGAGACAGCGGCCCTTTCGAAGACAAACACGTAGCCACCCGTGCTCGTTTGGTTTTGCTTGTCGCCAGCTTCGTCAGCATCCGTGTAGCCGACCGGATACAGTCACTCTGGTCCACCACCAAACTCCAGGGCGGTGTCACGGGTTTTTGCGAGGTAGTCGAGGCAGCGGTCAACATGACGCCAGTGGTTATCGCTCGGTACTGTCAGGCCGCTCCCCAGCTTGCTGCATGCGGAGGCAATGTCTGGCCTCGTCGTCATCGCCGCGAACTGCAGCGAGCCGACCTTTTGCCGGTATTTCTCCTCTTTATGCGAATTAGCGTCCTCATTGTTGGATGTCAGCTCGGCGTAGGCGTCGACGGAGACCAGCATCTTTGGGATCCGCCAGTTCTACTCTTCGGCGATAAAACGTCTTCGCAGCTTGTCAACGTTGGTCTGCTGGTGAAGCCTTAGATTCCGCGCAGGTTGGTCCCGCACAACCTCCAGCCCAAGACACTTCTCGACCAGGCTGATCTCGCGCAGCTCATTCAGCATTGAGAGGCTGCTACTGGTGGCGAGCAGGTCGTCGACATAGACGAGCATCCAGCACATCAATCTGCCGTGGCCGACCTTGAAGTAGAGAGCCTCGTCTACCTGGCTCTTTTTCCAGCTAGCGCCGGTCAACACATCGTCGATCTGTCAAACTGTTATATTATAGTGTAGGCTGTAGTGCGGTAGCCCATATGGGGTACAGCCCAAATTAGGGTTAGTATCACTGTATCATTCAATGCATTCATCCCTGCTCGTTAGTTTCTGACATGGTATCAGAGCAGTATGTCATTAGTATAAGGGCCCACCATTCGCTAGTCACCGACTACGGTTACTGCGCTACCCCACGCACGCCCTGCCCTCCCGTGCACTTCCCTGCGCCGCCCTGCTGGCCACGCGCCGCCCCTGCCTGCGCGCGCGCCGCCTGCGCACGCTCTGCCCTGCGTGGAGCAGCCCGCGCCCACCCTGCCCTGCGTCGCACCGCCCATGCACGCCCTGCCCTGCCCTGCCCACGCGCCACTCGCCGCCGCGCCGCCCTGCCCTGCTCGCGCGCTGCTCGCCGCCGCGCCACCCTGCCCTGCCCGAGCGCCGCTTGCCGCCTCGCCGCCTTGCCCTGCCCGCGCGCCGCTCGCGGCCGCGCCGCCCTGCCCTACCCGCGTGCTGCCCTGCTGGCCACAGCCCTGCCCTGCCCTGCTCGCACGCCGCCTTGCTGGCCGCTGCCCTGCCCTAGCCGTGTGTGTGCCCCTAGAGCTTGCATACTGCCCTGCTGCTCGCGCGCCACCTTGCTCTGCCCACGATGGCTAGTCTCAGCATACTCTCGTTCGATCATGAGGACTGTCCGATACAGTTCGATGCGTGGCTCTATGACCTCTAGCTGTACCTACTGAGCGATTCTAGAGATGGCGTTTTCTTGTTTGACCTCACGCCTGGCGCCTCTCTCGCCCCTCCCGACACAGCGGACAGTTTCACTCGCTCATAGTGGCTTACCCGTGACGCTGCTGCTCGCCTAGCCGTTCGCAACCACTTGCCGTTAGCCGAACGTGCTCACTTTGGCCAGCACAAGACTGCTAGAGCCCTGTACGATGGTGTAGTGGCTCGTTTCTCCTCTCCTACAACTGCTGCTCTAGGCCGTCGTATACTGCCCTACCTGTTCCCCAAGCTGTCCGCCTTTGCCACAGTCGCCGACCTCATCACCCACCTTCGCACTAGTGACACTCGCTACCGCGCCGCGCTTCCTGCCAAGTTCTTAGACAAGACCCCCCCATGTACATCACTCTCTACTTAATCGTCACCCGCCTCCCCGACATCCTTAGCACAGTCAAGGATCTTCTTCTAGCCCTTGACCCCATTGACCTCACAGTCGACCTGCTCGAGAAGAACCTCCTTGCACTGAGACCAGCACAGTCACTGTAGGCGCTTCTCGTGGCACTCCTCACACTCCTTTCTTTTAGGGGTGTTCCCCCTTCCCCCTTGTCCCCTCTGTTGCCTCTGCTGCTACTGTTGACTTCCTTCATGCTGAGGAGGTCGGGGCTGCGTCTGCTCCTAGTGGGAGGCGCCGCAGTGGCAGGGGCAAGGGAGGCCAGGGTAGTGGGGGTGGCAGCGGTGGAGGCGGTGGTGGGGGCTGTGGAGGCGGTGGAGGTGGCGGTGGTGGTGGAGAGAGTGGTGGTAGGAGTGGAGGCGTTGGTGGCGGCAATGGTGGCGGCAGTGGGAGTGGTGGCGGCGGCAGTGGTGGCGGCAGTGGGAGTGGTGGCGGCGGCAGTGGTGGCGGCAGTGGGAGTGGTGGCGGCGGCAGTGGTGGAGGTCGGGGTGGAGCCGTTCAATGGGGAGGTTCTGGAGGTGGCCAGAGGCAGTAGAAATAGCGTTCGAGTCTGCTCCAACAGCTTCGTGAGTGGTTTGCTCACGAAGCCTAGGTGCTAGTGAGTCTGCTCTCCCTGCGCCTGCTGAGGCCTTGCACACATTGACGTTTGATTCAGGTGCTTCCCGCTATTTCTTTCACGACAGCACCCACAAACACACCACTCCCTGCACCTGTTGTAGTCAGACTGGCTGACCTCTCAAGGGGACCAGTTCTTGCCCGTTCCTCCACCGTTCTTCCGTGTCCGGCGGTTCCGTCCGGCTCACTCGCAGGTCTTCACCTCCCCTCATTCTGTACGAACTTGGTGAGTACCGCTGCCCTCTAGGATGCGATGGTCACTACCACCACACCTGGGGGCTAGTGTGTGTCGATCTGCACGTGTACACGGACGGGCCGTCACCTGCCCACGTTCACCCGTCGGCCTGGGTCGAGTCTGTACACACTGATTACTGAGCCTCCTCAGGTAGCTGCTTCTGCATCCGCGTCAGGTCAGCTTGCGGCCCCCTGCTCGTGTCGCGTCCTATCGTACCAGACTCTCATTTGGCACCACCGCCTTGGTTACCCCTCCCTGCCACGCCTCCGTGGCATGCACTCCGGTCTCCTTATCTCTGGTCCGGTATGCTGCGCATCAGCTCAACCTCTGGCCCCGTGTCTCCTTGCCGGAAACCTCGCCGACAGTGCGTTGGACGGGACAGGTTGGCGATGCGTCGGTGTTCCGGGTCTGGGGATCTCGTGCCTTTGTCCAAGATTCCACCGCGGACAAGCTCTCCTCCCGTGCCATTCCTTGGCTTTCCTCCTGACACGCCTGGCTGGCAGTTTTACCACCCCACCTCGCACCGTGTCCTGCCCTCTGAGGACGTCACGTGTGACGAGTCAGTTCCCTTTTACCATCTCTTCCCCTACCGCACTGCCCCCCTCCCTCCCCCGCTACTCTTCCTCGCACCAGGTCCCCCTCCGGTAGACCCCCTCCCTCCTCAGGGTCCTGCTCCCTCAGGTGTGTCTCAGGTAGACCCACTCCCCTTGGCGAAGCCTGTCAAGGTCGCTATTGAATCAAGTACTGCTAGGGATGGTGCTGCTAGAGGTGCTGCGTGAGGGGGTGCTGAGCCTAAGCGTGCAGAGCCTGGGGGTGATTAGCCTAGAGTTGCTGAGTCTGAAGGTGCGGAGCCTAGGGGTGCTGAGTCTAAGCATGTGCAGCTTGGGGGTGTCGTGCTTGAATGTTTGGAGATTGGGGTGCTGAGGCTGGGGTTGCTCAGCCGGGTGGTACTGTGTCTGCGGGAAGTCTTACGGGACGGGAGCCGCTCTCTGCAGCTGCGCGAGTGGTTTGCTCGGCGCACCCGCCTTCAGAGTGGCACTGCTGGAGCTGGGGGGGCACTGCTGCTGCTAAAGGTGCAGGAGCTGCTGGTCTTGGAGTTTCTCGTGCTGGAGGTGCTGGAGCTGCTGGTGCCGGAGGTGCTCGTACTAGAGGTAGTGGAGCTGCCGGGGCTGGTGGTGTTGCTGCTGCTGGAGGTGCTAGAGGTGCTCGAGCTGCTGGAGCTGCTGGTTTTGGAGTTACTGGAGCTGGCAGAGCTGGTGGTGGTGCTGCTGCTGGAGGTGCTGGTGGTGCTAGTACTGGACTTACTGGAGCTGCTAGAGCTGATGGTGCTGCATTAACTGGAGCTGGAGACCCTGGAGCTGGAGGTGCTGGCCCTAGGGGTGCTAGAGCTGTCGGTACTAGTGCTGGAGGCACTGCGCGGCCGCGATCGTACTTTGTTCTACTGCTTCGCCAAGTTCTTGCCCTCCCGTCTTCTACTGACCTTCCTCCACCTCCATTTTGTCCACCGACTGACCAGTCACAGCCACAGTTACAGCCCGCCTCCCAACTGCCTCCTCCTTCTCCTTATACTGAGTAGACAGACTCTCTTACAAAGTGTCGTGAGCCTGCGTCTCGTCCTGCCTCGCTTGTTTGCGCTGTTCGCACTGGTCGTCGTGTCCCTCCTCCGCGTCCTCCTCCTGTCCCAGGCACGCACGGTATGGCACTTCGTCCTTCCTCTGTTCCACTGCGAGTTCCGTTGCCTTCTCTTCCAGCGTCCTCTCTTCCTGACGTTCCGGACCCTGAGTCTGACTTGGTTCGCGCTGCCAGTCCTACTATCACACGTCCCTTCGTATCAGTCCACTGCTATGTCTGCCCTTGTTGCTGAGCTTGTTGATTTTGCTGCCACCTGTCCTCTTAACTACGCCGCTAGCCTTGTTGCTGAGTCTGAGTCTGTCTGTCCTCCGTCCGTCAGGGGTGAGTGTGCTCTTGGCACGGACGTCCTTGAGGATAGGCCGGAGGAGTTTGAGTGTCTTGCAGCTGCTGTACCTCATCTCGTGTCCATGCTGCTTGCACCTGAGGGAGATCCGGATGCACCAGACATCCCGACCCCGCACTCTTATGCAGAGGCGATTACAGGTCGTTATTCCTCTCAGTGGCAGACAGTCATGGACACAGAGATGGCATCCTAGAAGTCCACAGGCACCTACGTCGACGCAGTTCCCCCTCCTGGGGTAAACACAGTCGATGGCATGTAGATTTTCAGGGTGAAGCGACCACCGGGTTCTCCGCTTGTCTTCAAGGCTCGTTACGTTGCACGAGGCTTTAGTCAGCGACAGGGGGTTGACTTCTTTCAGACCTTCTCCCCTACCCCCAAGATGACCACTCTTCGGGTGTTGCTGCACGTCGCTGCTCAGCGTGACTACGAGCTTCACTCTCTTGACTTCAGCACAGCTTTCTTACATGGGCACTCTGCACGAAGAGATCTGGTTGCGCCGTCCTTGTGACTTCACTGGGTCGTTTCCTGAGGGTACTCTGTAGAGCCTCCGGCGGCCAATCTACGGTCTCCGCCTGGCGCCTCGTTTATTGGCACGACACAGCGAGGACAACATTTGTGGCTTTTGGGTTTGCTCCTTCCACTGCTGACCCGTCGCTGTTTCTGCGCACCGACACTTCGCTGCTGCCATTCTAAGTCCTCGTGTGCATCGACGATTTGGTTTTTGCCACTGCTGACACAGAGGCACTGACTCTAGTGAAGTAGGAGCTGCAGAATAGAGACACGTGTACAGGCCTGGATGAGCTGCGCAGCTATCTTGGCTTGCAGACCACTCGGGACAGAGCACTGCGCACCATCACCCTGACTCAGTCACACATGGTGCAGCAGGTCCTTCAGCGCTTCGGCTTCCGGTTCTGTCTACTGGTCACTCGCTCTCAGATCCACCTTCGGAGGAGTCCGTAGAGCTCGTACCTCCATGATCCATGTGGCTGCCCCCCATTTTCTGTGGCCGTTTGTGGTCCGGTACGCTGGCCCCGTGTCTCCTTGCCGGAGACCTCGCCTACACTGCGTTGGACGGGAAAGGTTGGCGATGCATCGGTGTTCCGTGTCTGGGGCTGTCGTACCTTTGTCCGCGATAGCTCCGCGGACAAGCTCTCCTCCTGCGCCATTCCTTGCGTCTTCCTTGGCTTTTCCCCCGACGCGCATCGCTGGCAGTTTCACCGCCCATCTCGCGCCGTGTCCTGCCCTCTTAGGATGTCACGTTCAACGAGTTGGTTCCCTTTTACCGTCTCTTCCTCTACCGCACTGCCCCTCTCCCCCCCCCGCTGCTCTTCCTCGCCCTCTCGTAGACCCCCTCCCCCCTCAGGGTTCTGCTCCTTTAGGTGTGTCTCAGGTAGACCCACTCCCCTTGGTTGAGCCCGTCGAGGTAACTGGTGACTCTAGTGCTGCTCGGGGTGCTGCATCTAGGGGTGCTGAGCCTGCGGTTGCGGAGCCAGGAGGTGCTGAGCCTGTGAGTGCGGAGCCCAGGGGTGCTGAGCCTGAGCGTGCAGAGTTTGGGGGTGCTGAGCCTGCGGGTTTGGAGCCCGGGGGTGCTGCGTCTGAGCTTGCGGAGCCTGGGGGTGCTGAGCCTGTGGGTGCGGAGCCTGGGGGTGTTGAGTCTAGGGGTGCTGAGCTTAGGGGTCCTGTGTCTACACTACGAGAGCCTCTCTCACCACAGCAGCTGCGCGAGTGGTTCACTCGGCGCACACACCTTTGGAGTGGCGCTGCTGGAGCTGGAGTCCCTGGAGCTGCTAGTCTTGAGGTGCTGTAGGTACTGCTTGTATTGGAGGTACTGAGGGTGCTGGAGCTACTAGTCTTGGAGGTCCTACTGGTGCCTCGCCCCAGCGGTCTAGCCGGCGAGAGCCTCTCTCACCATAGCAGCTGCGCGAGTGGTACGCTTGGCACACCCGCCTTCGGAATCGCGCTGGTGGAGCTGGAGGCCCTACCGCTGGAGGCGCTGGCGCTGGAGGCACTGGTGCTGCAGGTGCTGGAGGTGCTGGTGGTGCTGGCACTGCTGGTCCCGGGGGTGCTCGTGCTGGAGGCGCTGGAGCTGCCAGAGCTGGTGGTGCTGCAGGTGCTGGAGGTGCTGGTCCCGGAGGTGCTCGTACTGGAGGTACTGGAGCTGCTGGAGCTGGTGGTGGTGCTGCTGCTAGAGGTGCTGGAGGTGCTGGAGGTGCTGGTCCCAGAGGTGCTCGTACTAGAGGTACGGGAGCTACTAGAGCTGGTGGTGGTGCTGCTGCTGGAGGTGCTGGAGCTACTGGTCTTGGAGGTGCTCGTACTGAAGATACTAGAGCTGCTGGAGCTTGTGGTGCTACTGGTGCTGGAGGTACTGGAGCTGCTGGAGCTGGTGGTGCTGCTTGTGCTGGAGGTGCTAGAGGTGCTTCAGGTGCTGGAGCTGCTGGACCGCCGCCTCCACTGTGTCCACCGCCTGACCAGTCGCAGCCACAGGTACAGCCCGCCTCCCAACTGCCCGCTCCTTCTCCTGATACTAAGTAGACAGACTCTCTTACAAAGCGTCGTGAGCCTGCGTCTCGTCCTGCCTCGCTTGTTTGCGCTGTTCGCACTGGTCGTCGTGTCCCTCCTCCGCGTCCTCCTCCTGTCCCAGGCACGCACGGTATGGCACTTCGTCCTTCCTCTGTTCCACTGCGAGTTTTGTTGCCTTCTCCTCCGGCGT